CAACAAGGTAAGAGCTGTAAGTATATTCATAGAAGCATGTGTCTGTAGATATGCAGTTGGTTTCAAGTAAAGCTTTTATCTTGGTTTATTAACATCTGCAAATTGAGGTAATCATGTGCATAGTTTATGTAAAATATTTAAAAAATCATAATGATGATTAACTCATCATAGTTGGCTCAAATGGAGCTCCGCAACTTGAAATTTAAACTAAATAATCTCTTTTTTGGATAAGCAAGGTAATTTAAAGAAGTACGCTCATGTATCGAATGCACTTGCATTAAAGTCTAGCTTTTCTCTTGACCGAACATATTCATAAGTATATTCTATATATAATACAATTTCAATATATGTTTATTTTCTACATTAGCTGATTAAGAAAACCAAACTATTTTTTTAAGAAAAATTTATAGAGGTAATATTTTTTTGTGGATTTATGTAATATAGTTCAGACTGTATATTAAAAACTCAGTTTTCTTTCTAAATTTACTAAAATACATTTAATAAAATAAAATAAAATAAAGTTTCATTCAAGGTATTTTAGTAAATTCATATGGTGGACTGCATTTCTAATGTACAGTCCACTCTGGAAAACACATTTTTTGCATTTTTTTTATGTTATTTATGAACTTGAAGTAATTATTAATCTATCTAAAGATATAAGAATTTAGAAATTTTTTTCCTTTTATTTTGTCTTGTGGTAATAGATGTTTGATTTCTAATTCATGAATTTATAAAAATTCAAAATCTGCATATATTTACGGTTTTCTAATATTAAACTAAAAATTAGAGATGGCTAACAAAATCTGAATATTAAGCAATTCTTGCTTTTATGTATCAGCTGGTGATAAGTTAAATACAGTAGATGTGTAGTATTCTATGACCAGTTTGCGTCCAGCTTCTTTTATTCATTTTTAACATATTATATTTCCATATTTCAGGCTACATTCCCTTGTCTAGAAGAACTGGAATTGGATAAGAATGATATTATGAAGGAGATATGGCATGGACAATATCCAGGGGATTATTTTCCCACACTAAAAGTTCTTAAACTCACCCAATTACCTGAGCAATCAGTTGTCCACCCTTTCCTCCTTCAGTCACCGAATCTTGAAAAGCTTGTTGTGAGTAAAGCTTCCTTTCATGAACTATTCCAGTGTCAAGGACTTGGTGATAAGGAAAAACCTGCACTTGCATTTACTGAGTCAAGTGAATTAAGGTTATCTGAACTTTTGGAATCAGTTTTCTATAACCTGAAAACTCTAGAAGTGCTACAGTGTAGCAGGTTAAAGAATTTAGTGCCATCCTTTGTATCTTTGAAGAATTTGACAACTTTGGAAGTATCTGCATGTCCTGAACTCATAAATTTAATTGAGTACTCAACAGCGAAGAGCATGGTGCAGCTCACAAAAATGAGTATAAGTGAATGTCAAATGCTAAAAGAAATTGTGGCGTGTGTGGATGAAGAAGTTAAGGATGGCATTGTCTTCATCCAACTCAAGTGTTTGCTACTTCGTGGTCTACCAAGACTAGCGAGCTTTTGCTCAGGGAATTGTGGCTTTGAATTTGCATCTTTGGAAGAAGTAATTGTGATGGGTTGCCCAAATATGCGGATCTTCTCTCAAGGGGAATGCAGTACCACTAATAAACTGCAAAAAGTGAAATTGACTGTGGATGAAGATGAAGGGTTCTGGGAAGGCAACCTTAACTCCACCATAAAAAAGATGTTCGCAGAAAAGGTATGCATTAATTCAAAATATTTCCTTACGTTTTCTACCTTAATTTCCAAGTTTTATGTATTACTCATAGCCCTTTGTTTGGTAAAATGTAAATTTATGTACTACTTTGAGCCCTTTGTTTGGTAAAATGTAAATTTTGCCAACAATAAGTATATGAAGTAGCACCGATAATAAAGGCTGCTACCAAATCAAGTTTTGTGCAAAAGAATAAACTGAAAGAAAATAAATTGCAACACCTTGTTAGTTAAATTTGTTACACGGGTTCTTCGCTTTACCCTGCCACATATCCATGTCCGACCCTTTTACTGACATTTGAAATTTCTATTTAATTGAATAACACTTGTATGCATAGCCATTTAAAGGAATAAATTATTTGTCCTGGGATCGTAA